TGATATTTTAGGACAATGGAGATATTTGGTTTACACACTAGTATGCTCACAAAAAATGTCCTAATTTTTCTACATGTCCTGATATTGAAGGTGTGTTATCACAAAATTGTCCTGATATATCCTGAAAACAAAGACAAACACACACACATTTCAAAACTGACTACTAGTTGGTGAAATTGAAGTTGAGAAAAAACGATAAACACACAAAAAATTTATGATATTTTAGAACAATGGAGATATTTGGTTTAGGGGCATTTTTCGGGCTTCTAGAACACATTAGTATGCTCAGAAAAATCTCCTAATTTTTCTATGCGTCCGGATATTGAAGGTGTGTTATAACAAAATTGTCAAAACAAACAAACACACACACACGCGCCAAAACTGACCACTAGTTGGTGAAATTGAAGTTGAGCAAAAACGATAAACACACAAACACACACACATACTCGGAAATGTATTATATTTTAGGACAATGGAGATATTTGGTTTAGGCGCATTTTGGGGGCTTCTAGAACACTCTAGTATGCTCAGAAAAATGAGGATACGAAAAATGTCCTCATTATTCTACGCGTCCTGATACTGATAGTGTGTTATCACAAAATTGTCCTGATATATCACTAAAACAAACACACACACACACAAACAGACCAACTCAAATAAGAGATATTCCAAATCTCCACTGGAAACACGACCACTACATTTTCTATTTTGAGAGGCCATTAACTTTCAGACGCAGAGGTGAAATGACTGATGGCTGGAGTAGCTGCCCTGGGCTCAGTGTGGAGGTAATGTGCACATGTGTGAGTCTCTGTCACAAAGAAACACTGCAACACAACGCTGTGAATCTCTGCTGGACAATTAATCCAAAAGCAAGTTATCAACAACTTTAATCGGAGAGTGAGAGGGATAAGGAGTGGCTGCTTGATTCAGAGGACAAATTTGGGCAATGAAAATAATGCCTGCCAGTGGTATTGCTGAAGTTTTACTCCTACTCAGATAAACAATGAGTTATGAATGCTTTTAAGGAGCTGACAAGTAAAGGCAGCGCACTAAAATAATAATCTTTGGGGATTTTCCCCTTAATGGCTGTCTTTTCTTATGATTGTTTTTGCTTTCTCTGTTTTTAGAGTCTAAGCCTTTGGAAGTTACAGTATCAAACAGTTCAACTTATTATTGAGCATTGAAAATCATTTAATGTTATTCATGACATGTCAAGTCAGCTTTCAAAGACAGTTCTGAAACCTCACCATCATTTC